CTCCCCGCCTATGCTATGCCTGTGGTTTTCGCCTTTAAATATTGTTCAGCCTTAACAATAAACGAGTTCCTGCTCGACACGACTCCCTGCCACGTCTGTCCTCGGAGAGAAGGGCTGGCGAGATGGGTGGGCAGCGCACTTTCCCCTCCTCAACCCCCATCGCCGAGGCCTCTTGTTCCTCTGCCCAAGACGAAGGGGTTCGGAGACCGTGGCATCTCTGGAGCACTTACTTTTTTAGAACGCAAGTGCCATGTGTGAATGGGCAAAAGTATCATATCACTAAATAATCCAACCTCTATCCTGTATCCAGTAGAAAATGTGTGGGTCTCTTTCACAGAATTTGGCTTCAACCTCTATCCTGTGTCCAGTAGAAAATGTGTGGGTCTCTTTCACAGAATTTGGCTTCATGTCCCTACCAAGTAGCCTTTCTTCCTGGGAATTATAGTTTTAAGATTTCAGTATTAGGATGGAGATTTTGACCTCTTGGGATTTCAGCACATGGGATTTGGCATTTGAGTGTGTCTTTTTAATGCTAAATGAAGTCCAATTTTCAGCTTTTCTCTTAAGGATCATGCTTTTGTGTTTATAGTAGCTAATTTAAAAATATTTTATGTCTATGAATGTTTGCCTACATGTGTGTATATGCACCATTATGTGCTTGATGCCCTCAGAAGCCAGATGAGGGCATTAGATCCCTGGAACTGTGAGCAGCCATGTGGGTACTGGGAACCAAACCCAGGTCCTCTGCAAGCCAGTGCTCTTAACTGCCTCTCTCCAGCCTGTAGTTACTTTACTTGTTGACTGAACAGGAAGCAAGAGGTCAACCACATCTGATGCCTTTCCTCTGTTGTTCTCCATCTATTTTTTCCATGTCTGTTTGTGTGCGGTGTGCGGTGTGCGGTGTGTGCGTGTGTGTGTTCACAAGACTGTGGGCACATGTATACATATGTGAAGAGAACAAAATAGAATAAAGAGAACAGATTGGGCAATACAGAGTTAACTGGACAAGCTGCCTTGGAAGGTCACAGCGAGTTGGAAGAATGCCATGAAGTTTCTTGCACACAAGGCCGATACAACAACCTTCACCTTGAGCTTGTTATTCCAAAGTCCAGAATGTCCTTGAAGATAGTCAGTAGCCATAGCTGGACTTTGTACCTAGATAAAAGCTGGGAAAATGCAGCTGGAAAAGAAGTTTGTATCACATACTGTGCTGCTTCTCATGCTGTAACTGTTTTGCTGCTCTGGCCTGGCTCTCAAGTGGGTTCTGCAGCTCCAAACTCTACTTCTCACGCTTGCATGGCAAGTACTTTATCCACTGAGCCACCTCCCCAGTCTCTCCAGCTTCCTATTTTTTAAAGATTCATTGTATTTTTATTTACGTGCATGTGTCTGTGTGAGTGTACACATGGGTGCCTGGAGGCCAGAAGAGGGAGCAGATCCCTCAGAGCTAGAGTTCTGTGTTTTATGAGTTGCCTCATATGGGTGCTGGGATCTGAACTCTGGGCCTCATGATAGAGCAGCAAGTGCTCTTAACCTCTGAGTCATTTCTCCAGACCCCTCCATCTTATTTTTTGAGACAGGGTCTCTAACTGAACTTGGAGCTCACCAATTTGGCAAGACCAGCTGGGATCTCAGGGACCCTCCTGTCTCTGCCTCCCTCCCAGAGCTGAGATGACAGGTACGCCTCTGCCACACTCAGCTTGAAAAAATTTAGTTTTATTTCTTAATTATGTGTATATGTGTATTTATGTGTGGATGTGTGCACTGAGTTCAGCTGCCCACAGAAGCCAGACAGCAGATCCCTCATGAGCTGGAGTTCCAGGCAGTTGTGAGTCGCCTGGTGTGGCTGCTGGGAATTGAACTTGGGTCCTCTAGGAGCAGTAAGCGCTCTTAACCACTGAGTCATCTCTCCAGCCCCACCACACTCAACTTTTTATGTGGATGCTGAGAATTCAAGCTCTGATCCTAAACTTTATGGCAAACGCTATACTGGGCGAGTGATTTCCCCAGACCCTAAGAGTTTTCCAGTGTGCAAAGAAATTAAAAGGGACAGTATCAATTAAGCATCAACTGGAAGCTCAAGAAAATGAACATGTTGACACTATCAAAAGAAACGCTGTCATGGATCTGGGCAAAGATTATCAACAGATGCTAAATTTGCTAGATAAAAGTTGGCAGGGATTCTTTAATAAATGTATTACACCAAGAATACATGAATCTGCAGGTCACTCCTAACATCATTAAAAGCTGTATAACTAGGCTGGAGAGATGGCTCAGCTGTTAAAAGCACTTGCTGCTCTTACAGAAGCCCTGTGTTCTAATCCCAGCACCCACACTGGGTGGATCAAAACCACCTGTAACTCTGGCTACAGATCCATGAAATCTGGCGCCCTCTTCTGACCACTTCAGGCACTGCATTCATGTGGTGCACATAAACTTATACAGGCACAACACATAAATGAAATGTATTTTTAAAGACAGTACAACCATGCCTTTGGTGATGGGATTTCTAGAGGGGATGAGCTCATGAGGGCTCTGAACTAGCAAATACAAATCCCTTAGTGGGTTCACAATGTAATGGCATTGTTGAGAAGTGGGGAATGGTAGGTGGACCTTGGTGGAGGAAGTCTTTGGGGACGTCTCTGGAGGCTCTACCTTGCCCTGGTTGCTTTTTTCTTCCTGGCCACCATGTTGTGAGCTGCTAACTGCGTTTCCTTGCCATAACAGAGCCACATCTCTGAAATCTTGAGCCCAAATAAACCCTCAGTCGTTTCTGTCAGCTTTTGTCACAAGGATGAGAAAGGTAACTGATACAGGATTTCTAAGCCTGGGTATGCTTTAAGGGTGTTTTGCAATAATTCATTATGCTATGCTTTTGCTTTGCATGGCTTTGTATGTGTGGGTTCCTGTTCATGTATGTGTGGGTACACAGGCACATGTATATGTGCTTGTGGAGGCTAGAGGACAGCTCTTGGATGTTGTTCCTCAGGTGCCATCCTGAGAGAGAGGGAGGG